ATTGACTGCTTCAAATGATGTAATAAAAACAAGCCTTTCAATAAAGTGATCCAGGGATCACCAAGAGAGGCTAGTTTTTTACTATACCACAAAATAAAGCAGTCAGTGTTTGTTTTATAACATCTCTCTGACATATTTTGCTTCATTTAAGCTTAAAGAGCCAGGGGGGCTGCATTGTCTTTTTTTTCAGGAGTTGAGCCTTTAAGAGTTTATAGTAACTCTTCGTGCTAATTCTGATACCAATTTGCAAAACTCAGACACTGTTCATGCGCAGTGCGAATTTTCCAAGACAGGTCAGCAAAAAATGCACACTCACCCCCCCCACAAAAAGAGGAATTAGGTGCATGTATTTTGAATTAACTTGCAAAAATTTTCATTGTGAATTTCAAGACCTTACATTGTTTTTGGCAGATTTTGCTTGCTGTGTTTTTCTGTGTTTGATTGGATTTGCTACGTAAAGAATAGGGTAGTAATGCCCCCCCTGCCAATATGTCAGGTATTGTATTTTATTGTGACCTTGTCAGCTCAGCACATTAATCCATTTATCAGTATTTTCTGCATAGCAGCTTTGTGGCACTGACCCCAGGTTTACTGTAGTACTCTGGCATGTGAGGGCCAGGTAAGGACAAATATAAGGATCATGAGATGACTGCTTCAACCGTTTTGTCTCTGCAGATGGAACTTAGACTCTGTTGGAACATTCATGTTGTAGGCTTTGGACCGATTGGTCGGGTAGTGAATATAAAATGTATGTGCATACTCAGCTTATATGTACATCTTGACCTCCAGTTTAATATACCAGGAATCAGCAAGCTTCAACCTAGCTTAATGACTCAGCTGATAGCTGTCCATTGTCCACCCATCTACAGCCTTGATCGTTTCTGGAAGGTTGGCAATGCCACTGTCACTTACATGCCACAAGGCAACTGTGACCTGTCACAACTTTAATAGTATGTTTGTCAAACTGAATCAAACTAGTCATACAACAAAATTCAGACCGATTGTTTTCAGGTGGTAAACAAATATTTTGTTTGTTATTCCACTTACAAAAAAGGACAAGGAAGATTTTGTTGGTTAAGTCCTCTTCGACTGTAATCTGCAACAAACAGACGTGATACCATATTTTCTCAATTTAAATAGGTTTTCCAACTTTTTTGCACTCCCTGAAATAACTTTATTGCCCTAATTATCTTGGTTGGCATCTTTTTCCTGTCAAAATGTTTATGGTGCATGGCTTACAGTCCCTGGAGAAAAGCCTAAGACTGCTTCCTCCTTGGTTCCTAGAGCCCACAATGACATTATGCAGTTATAATAATTCTTACTTAAGTGATTTGCATAACTGTGCTTTGGTATGCTTATTGAACTTCATGTAGAAGATTTGCAAAATTACTCTGCAAAGTTTTCTGGAAGTTACAATTTTTCAAAGGAAGCAAGTGACTTTTTGAAGAATTTCCAGTACAGTTTTAAGAAACCAGTGTTATCTTTTTTTTTTTTTTAGGTTAGGGTTGGAAATATCTTAGAAAAAAAGAGGAAGAGTGTGAGTGGCCGACACATATTTCAGCTTGATTTTCAGTGTGGTACTAGCCTGGGCTTGGCCTGCATTGGCTGGGCAACCTGGCTGTCATTTTTGCTAGTGTGCAAAATGAAATGTGTCAGCCGCATTGCTTTGACAGATTCAGTGCCTAATTGTCACTCCTTTTAGTTTATTTTTGACCCCAACTACCACCAGTATTTCATTCTTCTATTTTATATCCCTTTATTTCTGTTTTGAGATTTAAAGTTGTTTAAAAATGTTTAATGAAATTAACTGAGGAGTTTAGAAACATGGAGTGGTTATATGCACCTGTAACATTCGTTTTTCCTCAGGGGAGAAGTCTTTTCCATTTTTTAAAATGAAAAGTAGAGTTCATGCTGGATTATGATTTAAATTGAAGGTCATGATTCCTTATTTGTTCACATTTTAGATACTGGTAAAATGACTCACATAGCCAGTTTTCACCTCCTTTTGATACAATGCACTCATAACAACTTTTCTCTTTTCTTGGGATTCAGTCTACATGTATGTTTTAGAAAAATGATAAATTCCTCTTCATTGTCAAAGAGGTGGCTTCCAACTCACATTACATTCACTAAAAAGAGAGGAGCTTTAAGTTTGCTTTATCTCCAGACCCCTGGTTCTGCCCTTGTCCTTGTTTGGGCCTTCGTTCCCCCCCCCCTCTCCATTTTTGGTATATGGGGGGGGGAAGGTGATGTCAGCCTGAACACAGAAGTAACATGTTTTTGTGCTAAATGTAAGCTTTTTTTTCTGCCATGCAAACAAAAACTCGCAAGGTGCTTAGAATAGGAAGAAATAGGTGTTATAAATTATTTGAGAGGATTTGCTAAACAAAGAAGGGAAAACAGAACTTTAAAGAAAATGACCAGGAAGTTTGTATCCATTTGTAGTTTCAGTGAGCCACTTTATGCCCACTTTATGCTCTGCTGTTCAGCATGTACATATTATTTTGAATTTATTCGTAAAAAGGTCAATTGGTTTGTTCATTTAAAACATTTTGATTGGACCAAATGTCATGAGGACTTCGGGTTGTACAGTGTATTTAGAAATAAACGTCTCAGTATAGGCTGGTCCTTTGAGCGCTTGAATAGCGGAGAAGATTCCCTACTTGCATAATATTTGGACGCAAACTTGCTCAGTGTTTTTCATGAAAATCGCAGGCCTCCTCTTTATTAAGTGCACCTGACTGTTTTGCAATAACTGGATAAAATTGGGACTTACAATTCTTCAGGAAAAGGATTAATCATCCATTTAATACCAACATTTTCACTGCCGGGCCAATAAAAAGTTTTATTTAAAGTTTTATGCACTACTCACTCGGCAATCCTGGCAGTATTTATATTTTTGCGAGACGAATGGTAAGTCTGGTTCCCTATTAAACGACCAACACTAGGTTTCCTTCAATGCAAAGTCTGGGTTCCCGATTTTGGTCACACACATTTACGCGTATCTCTGATGTCATTTGATTGGCCAGTATTAGAGAGAATATGTCAATCAACCTATCACCAATAGTTTTTCATGAAACACATACAACAGTTTTCTCAGTTAATCTCACGAAGTCTAAATCTGTGATAATGAAATATTTTGGGTGCACTTGAATGTTTCGCATCGACTTGAAAAGTAAAAACTTATTGTTTGGCTGGATATATGACATATCTACCTTTCTGCCCTCAACAAGATTCTGCCGGCCCAGATTTGGATCCACTAAAACCAGTTTTTTTGTACCCTCCTTTTTACACATGAAAGCCTACGTTTTCCGGCTAATATCCTTCAAAAGAGACTGCAAATATTTATATTTTTACAAAATACATGAGACAGATATCTTAACTGTTGATTTATGTAAAGATATTCCATTCTTAAAGGTAACACAAGGTGGTATACACTGTTGAAAAGTCCACTACATAGCTCATTACATATGCATGATTCAGACAGCCGTGCATACATAGCAAATGAAAGGAGCAGCTTTTACAGGTGCTGCGCGCTGACTGAAAACCACAACCTGTTGGAGCATGAGTATTGAGGGCATGCTTATTATGGTTGCTTTGAATAGGTATTGTAAGAAAGTAATTACATGTACAAGTACATGTGCTCCATGTGAAATTCATGGATATAAATCCTAGGAGGTTTACACATCCTTTGATGTGGGGTGGTTAAAGGGCCCATGTTATCTAGAGGGTTTTATTACTCTCCTTGAAAAGTGCTCTCGTATCTCATTATCTTTTATTCCTTCATGCTGTTCTCTGTAAGGGCGTTGTAGAGCCTTACCGATTTTTTATGCATATGCGGCTGTTTGTATTGGGAAAACAGTGATTTCATATTAGGCAGAAGCTTCAGTGTTCAACTTTGTCAGCCTCAAAATTTGAAAAAATGAGGGGGGAGCTTTTCTAATCCCAGGGTCATTTTTTTGTGAAAAGTGTTTCATTAGCCGTGTTAGCGTTTAACTTTTGGTAGTTAACATTCAGAGATAGTTGTCAATTTGACAAAATTACATGTAAATCCAGTGTGGATGGCAGGTAAACTGTCAACGTTGTAAAGTGGTGATCACCTTTTTTGTTTGTTTTACCTTCTGCACCATTAACTTCTGTAGGGCCAACCAGGTCACAGAAGAATTACATTGTCAGTTTTAGGAATGACCGCTGTCATGTAAAACTTATAACTTGATCACAGGTAATGGTGAGGACAGATTAGTATGACCTCTATTGGTTCCTGTGTACATACCCTATACCATAATTTACTTACAACATCAGAGATGCAAAATGGCTGACTTTTCAGTTTAAGAAGACAGAATTTCATGCTTCCCCTGAAGTCACATCCAGTGTCAGATTATAAGGTCAATAAGCCATTTGCGAGTTCAATTTGAATAATATCTGGTGCACTGAGTTATCTGACTGCACATAAACATAACGATTTGAATTCCCCCAGACTGAAGACACTGTTGCTATACCTCGTGATTCGGAGCAAGCTTTCGCATAGCAACCACCATCTCTGGAATGGACTGATTCCTTTATGCCCTTGTTATCCATTGAGAACAGTGTATTGTTGCAAGGCGTCTCTTATGTAACTCAGCGAAAGCTTGCCCCGAATCACAAGGTATAGCAACCGTGGTTTTAGTAAGGAGAATTCACGTTGTTATGTTCACATGAATTAAAAGAACTCAGTGTACCAGATTTGGGTCAAAGTTAACTGGCAAAAGGCTTATTGGATCTGGAGGGCACAATTGTTTTATTCTGTGAAGACAAGCCTCTGTAGGGTTTAAGTAGCCACAGGACTTTATGCGAGTTGCGGCTTGCAAGTAATCTGCATGCAAGTGCAGATGTATGAAAGAAACACTTGTAGTAACAAAACAGTTTTTAGTGCAATGTGAATGCGGCAATTTTTGCCTAAGTATCAATGTAAATTCATCAGCGATACAGAAAACCCTTCACTGCAGAGCACCACAAAGAGCCATTCTTTTAAAGGAAAATATGTCTGTGCCAGTTGGATCTTTAAACCAGATTTACAGTCGAGATGACACTGATTGAGGGAACATGTGACAGCAATTTTGCTGCCCCCTTGATTTATTGGCCTGATAAACTTGAATGGGATCACTCAGTACAGGTTCTACGTTCTTCAATGCAGTGGTATGAACCCAGAGTTAGGTTGTCACTTGATTCATGCACACTACAATTAGGCAGTACCGGACTGTCATCATGGCTCCTTGATCTTGTACTATGAACACGTAAATTTATGTATGTGTACATTATCGGGCATTGGACCGTATGTGTCACATTGGATTCCATGGATTGCCACTCCATCTTTGTGGTTCATGCTGTGACACTGTTCCGCTTCCCAACTCAAGAGGGAGCTACATCAGTATCACATCCTAGCCTTGAACTAGGAATGTAGGCTTACTGCACAAGTATTGGTAGGTGCATACAGTAGTGCTGTGTGCAGCCATCTCAGTAACTGCATTTGGAGTACCGGTAACTACATGGACATGTGTATGCAAATGTTTCAATTCTTATAAGCAAGAACAGTGTAAATCTTGCCTGTTGTGAACACTGAGCCATTGGCAGGGGACTCCATCATATGAGGTACATGTAACAAAGTTCCCGAAGGCTTTAAAAGTGTTTTTAAAAAAAAGTGGGCCAGAAACATATTTATGTAGATGTACCTTGAAACATTTGGATCAGTTCATCTTACTGATACAGGTATATATGTAGTGAATTAGCCGTTTGTCCACAACTTGTCTATTTAGTTTCTTTCCTTTATGTGCAGGACTTGTGTACACGTACTGTAAACTGGTGGTGTGTGTGTGTAATATAACCTTCCCCTGAAATGACCAACTCCAATGATGCTGATTTTGCACATATTGAATCCTATTCAGAAGAGCCAAGTCTAATAAAAGTGGCACTTATCAATCTTTCCCTTGCAGTGCACGTTTTTCGTGTTAATAAAACACAGTTTTTGTGCCCATTTTTCCTGCGAGTCCAATCCGGTATTGTAAAAATGGATGTGTTGGCACAACTTATTAGCATCTAATAAATATTGATTTCTGTGATGTATTGCCATGGAGAAGAAATACCACAGTGCTGGCACAGCATGCATAGCCGTGGACGACAGAATGAACTTGAAGAATGCTCTCATTCTTCAAGAACTCAAAGAATTTCAATCCCGGTTCTTTGGCAGAATTTCTAGTAATATACATCCACAAATGATATACATGTATGATTTCGGCGTTACTGTAAACCATGAAGAAAGGAGCACAAACTCACAACGGAAAAGAGATAATGTGGCACATTAGGCCCGGCATGCAGATCGATCCCCAGTACGTGGTGCATGCACATGTAGCTCCATGTTTATGTACATGTACGCTCGTAGCGGAACCAGTCGTGTCGCAGATACCAGTTTTAATGTTTTTTCCGGTATCACATCATACAAATTTGGTTTCTCAACAGCACCACGAGCAGTCAGATTGTGGAAATTTTTTATAAAACTCAAAAGACGCCGTTCAACAAATTCGGCAAAATTTCAAAAATACAGATGCAATACAGACACGATTTTGTAATAAATATATGAGTTATTTTACACTAAACACAACAATAGTTTATTTTCAAAACTTTTAAAATCATCAGAGTTGGTCTTTAACCCCTTGACGACAAGAAGTTTTCCCGAAAGTCAACTCAAAGAATTCCAGCCTCGCTTGGCCACGAAGGCCACCTGCCAAACCGCAAATTCTCGGTTTGTGGCCCTGCGTGCTCTGCAAGCTTTGAATTACACATTGAAAAGGCTGATTGTTTGTAGGCATGAGGCTCTACTCACCTTTCCACTTTCCCGTTGCCTCTTTTCAAAGTGGGGACTATTGTAAAGCTGGTGATTGTGATGCAAAATCAATCTTTTCATTTCTGGGCTACGCACAAAGACCAATTACCATATATACAAGAGCCAGGGTCTGCCTTCTTCCACCGTGTTCGCTGGAGCGTGGGCCGAGAATAATAGCTGAAAAGTGGGCCGAGGATCTCAATTTTTACGGCGACTATAGCCGCTTCCCGGCGCGAGGGGTTAATAAATGATTATGACAAGTGCATCATTTATACTCTTCTTCACCATGATTAGTGTCTGAGAAGAACATGGTCATGCCTGTGAATATTTTAACAACACTACCGGTATGTACACGTGCCTGCACAATGTGTACATGTACATTAACTTTATACTCTCATGTTGCTTGTGCGAACATGGAAGACACCTTCCAGAATATAATTTTATGCTTAGAGAAGAATTGTTAATTTCAACCTCAGATGGATACGCATGACCTTGGCTGATTAGACTAAACATTGGAAATGTTCATCCAGTAAAAACGTCAAAGCTTGTAATGTTGAAGCGTCTGTCATTTTGTAGTGTGGAACTCTTTTACATGCATGGAGCAATACAGAGACGTACAATAGTGTTATGTACAGTTGCCAATAGCTATCCCCAACTGTTTCAAATCCTCTGATTTCAACATGATGTTACACCTGAGGGGGTTGGGGTGAAAGAGAAAAGTACAGTGTATGTGTATGCTTAAAGAGAAAATTATGTCCCAAGATAGTCAGGTACATGTATGTATGCATATGCTTTCCAGGTGTTTATCTTGCTTCCATCTTGAAGTTAACATGATTTTGCCTGAGTTCAACCTGTATACTTATTCCTGATTTCTTACTGAATCCCACAAAATGAGTTTGAAAGCCATATTTTGAGGCAGTCTCTTTTAGATTTGATGTGAGACAGAGCAAACTGAGCTCTTTGTGCTTGTGTATCCACCAGTAGGGCATGAAGATGGACAATTTACCCTACATGTACTGGGTACATGTAGGGGTGAAAAGATTGAGGGATCCCATTGATTTACACACTGCAATTCTTTGAAAGGCTTTTCACTCAAAAGTTGCTCTGGCAACTTGTGGCTCATTTTGAAAATGCCAATATCTGCTGCACAAAAAGGTCAGGCCTGCTTGAGATCACGTTTAGCAAAGCCTTTTGAGTTCACAGGGATACTTTCTCTTTCTGTTTACAGTCAACTTTTTTTTTTTTCAAAAATTACGGGTTATTTAAGAGATCTTGTACATGTAGATGTGTATAGCCAAGTTACAAGTACAGTTACCATTCACAAGAGTGGTCATTTATTTGGGTTGGGGAGTATATGTACATACAGAAATGGATGTCGTCCCTGAGTGCAAACAATGTTACTCTGTCTAACTTTGAATTCAGAACCGGTAGTATGTAACTGTGCCATGTGATATGGGAGGGGTTACTGACAGTTGCTGTTTGCTTCCATTGTGTAAAGTGTTCTATCTAAAAATCGTCATTATTTGTTTCTGTTGGTGTTACATCCTAAATGTTCCAGTCCATTAAACCAGCATTACATTTATCAGTCAACCAGAATCCAAAAAGGAAGTGCCAGTACAAAACCCAGACGTTTGATTTTAGAGGCTTTGGGTCATGAGGGTTAATGACCGGCATCCATGTGCGTGTAACCTGTGGGGTTTATGTGTTGTCAAACTTCACTTTGCTGTGTCAAGACAGGGCTGTTGATGTGAGCGGGAAGGTCTGCAGTGCATTCCAAAGCTGTTATCTTTCATGGTAGAATTGTCTAATTATTTTGCATATTCATGCCCCTTGCTGAAATACACAGTGTCCAAGTAGGCTGCATAGTCTTAATTGGGGAGGGGATGATAGGCATTGGCATTTGATCTCCTGTTTAGTGTTGAGATACAAAAATAACCTGTGCTTACCCAATCCCTACGTATTTGGGTACTGTCATGTTTTCTGCTGCTGCTGTGTACCAGGTAGAGTTGTGAGTTCAATCCAGCAGTAGGGTACCCTGTACAAGTCACATTATTCCCACTTGCCTCTCTCCATCTTGAGATGGCAGCAGCAAGCTCACATGTATGCATGTGTACAGTACTCCCCATGGAAATCAGATGGTTGCAGGAATGGCCCGGTGAGCAGGGGTAATAATGATGCAGCACCTTGTTCACCAGTAACCCTAACAGTCCTCAATCCTCCAAGTTCAATATGGTTTTACATACCCCAGGGAATTATTGCTTAACAATGGATGTGTTAATTTTATAAATATCCATTATTATTATTATTAGCTTTTGAGCTTCAGGGTTTATAAAAAGGAAGGATGGAAACTGTAAAGTGCTTACATTGCTGTGAAGTGTAGATGAAATTTTACATAGGTGTGGATGCATCCTTGCAGGGGACATTCAAAAGCCAGTACTAGTTTGTGTTAGCCTAAGCACATTCAAATGTGCATCATCTACTGTACAGTGTAACCTGCTAGTAACTTGTCACCGTGCAAATTTCACCTGCTGGTGAACAATGCATTGTTACTCGTTAACCGTGACAACTGCATGTGATCATAGTGTTATTGGAAAGAAGACAATCAGGCCTTTCTGGAGACATATAATGCTTCATAAAGAAATCTGCAGTTTTCCTATAAATTGTGGTTGAATCTGGGTTTCCCATATTTTTGATATGGCCTGTAGCTGAGCATGCATTTGATAACTGAGTATGTATTAGTACCAGTGCTCCTAATTACCGCCAGATGTCAGAATGTTGTTAGCATATTGATGAAAGACTCAGCTATTAACCAGCAACCTGTAGTTGACAATGTAGCGGTACCGCAAATATTCTTCATAGACACCTGAACTGGTACATATACAACTATTGGCACATGTGCCTTAACTACTCAGCATCAACAGTAATAAATGGAACAGATGATGACACAAATACATGGGAGTTTGACAGCTCAATTTATTGTAAATGTACATGTACATGGGATGTGTTTATTGACAGTGCTACTTTGCGGCCTTTCCCGCCTGGGGATGGGAAAGGTTGGATGGTGACCCAATACCTACATGTTCATACCCACACCTGTTTCTTTCCAATCCCTTGAGACTGAAGGACCTCCAATGTCTTTGGCCACATGTTGAATGGAGAGAAGTCTGCCTGTCTGGCTGTTCAATCATCCTCCCTCCCCTTCCGTTAGAACACTTTGCCTTACTTGGCAGGTGTTGTTAAAAACCTGTACAATTCACCTTCACATACATGTACATGTACATGTATGTGAAGGAACTGAAGTCTTAAGCCGAATCCGCTCATTTCGAAAACACTCATAAATGTAGTTCCTTTTGTGGCATTAAATGTATGTAGTTTATTACTACATAACATTAATGTACCCCAATTCATTGCGGTATGGTACACATGTTGTACATATGTATGTAGTTTTGTCTGTCATTAAGTTTGCCTGTCATTTCAGCATGTGTGCACATTATTACCAGTTGGATAAACCTTTTACAAGTATGTACTCATATACCTGCGCGGATGTGAAGATTATAAAACACGAGTGGCTTTTGACATTGAGACTACAACAGTGTGAGTAATTTCTATTGCATTTGTGAGATCCAAGGTGTTGGATACTGTCTGATCTATGAGACTTGATTGTGAATAAGCATAGAGTGCTACCAGTAACATTCAAACAAATCCTCAGCATTAGTACTGTGTCAAAACAACATTTCATTAGTATTATTGGTGTTGCATGTTTTTTATTTTT